AATGATAGTTGTGAGAACTTTAACTCTGACAAATGCACCAAAGACACTGAGAAAAACCAACATGATGCTCATGTTTCACAGTCCACATGTGGTCATAGATTGAGGGATACATAAACAAAACTCAAAACTTGTGAGATTACAGACTTTTCTTGAAAAGACTTGATCCAAGCCCCTCTGCCCGTGAGCCTGACTCCCCCGAGCCTCTAAAATAAAGTAAAATAAAATAAAAATAAAAATAACAATAGTAAACACAAAACAACAGCTGTTTCAGAGACACTCAGGACTCGCTGCCGTTTCCAGCACATCCAAAAATAATGTGATTTTAAAATGCAATAACAAAATAAACATGTTAAAAAATAATCCTGAGCTGATGAGATATGAATGAACAGAAGGATGCGTAGCTCGGTCTGAAACAGCCCCGGTGTGAAAGTGTCGGCAGTGTCTGGCTGAGTGAGTTGTGGTGAGCTCGCCCACTCGTCAGGCCCAGCTGGAGGTCTCTCTGAGTGGACCGGAGCGCCTTCGCCCACGCCGCCTCACAAAGGCGCTGTTTGCCTTTTTGTCTGGTTCCCGCTGATCCTCGCTCTACAAACATATTGAGACGCAGCGAGGGACGGTCTGAGGCTCGAGTAAGGCCCAAGAACAGACTGTGGTTCTAATGTAAAGAGGAAGCTGCTGTTGTGTGTGTTAGCTTAGCATGAGACGACTTCAGCACCGTGTCGCTACGCTAGCTCCCATTTCAACTCCACTTATTTTTGTACAACTGTATTTACCTCGGAGGACTTTCCAAAGCTGTGGATTCACCAACACAGATCAGAGAATCAAAAAAACACATTTATCATTGGTCCATAAGAGGCAGAGATCAATGTGCATAAATGTTTTTAGTTCATTCTGTCTCGACTCTCTCTCTCTCTATCTGTACTCTCTCTCTCTGTCTGGACTCTCTCTGGTCTCTCTTTCTCCCTCTGCCAGGACTCTCTATGGTCTCTCTCTATCTCTGTCTGGAATCTCTCTGGTCTCTCTCTCTCTATCTCTGTCTGGACTCTCTCTGGACTCTCTCTCTCTCTCTCTGGAATCACTTTGGTCTCTCTATCTCTGTCTGGACTCTCTCTGGACTCTCTCTCTCTCTCTGGACTCTCTTTGGTCTCTCTCTCTGTCTGGTCTCTCTTTGGTCTCTCTCTATCTCTGTCTGGACTCTCTATCTCTGTCTGGACTCTCTCTCTCTCTCTGGACTCTCTTTGGTCTCTCTCTCTGTCTGGTCTCTCTTTGGTCTCTCTCTCTCTCTGTCTGGACTCTCTCTGGACTCTCTCTCTCTCTCTGGACTCTCTTTGGTCTCTCTCTCTGTCTGGTCTCTCTTTGGTCTCTCTCTCTCTCTGTCTGGACTCTCTCTGGACTCTCTCTCTCTCTCTGGACTCTCTTTGGTCTCTCTCTCTCTCTGGACTCTCTTTGGTCTCTCTCTCTCTCTCTCTGGACTCTCTTTGGTCTCTCTCTCTCTCTCTCTCTCTGGACTCTCTTTGGTCTCTCTCTCTCTTTTTCTCTCTGGACTCTCTTTGGTCTCTCTCTCTCTCTCTGGACTCTCTTTGGTCTCTCTCTCTCTCTCTCTCTCTGGACTCTCTTTGGTCTCTCTCTCTCTCTCTCTGGACTCTCTTTGGTCTCTCTCTCTCTCTCTCTGGACTCTCTTTGGTCTCTCTCTCTCTCTTTTTCTCTCTGGACTCTCTTTGGTCTCTCTCTTTCTCTCTCTCTCTGGACTCTCTTTGGTCTCTCTCTCTCTCTCTCTGGACTCTCTTTGGTCTCTCTCTCTCTCTTTTTCTCTCTGGACTCTCTTTGGTCTCTCTCTCTCTCTCTGGACTCTCTTTGGTCTCTCTCTCTCTCTCTCTGGACTCTCTTTGGTCTCTCTCTCTCTCTTTTTCTCTCTGGACTCTCTTTGGTCTCTCTCTCTCTCTCTCTCTCTCTGGACTCTCTTTGGTCTCTCTCTCTCTCTCTCTGGACTCTCTTTGGTCTCTCTCTCTCTGTCTGGACTCTCTTTGGTCTCTCTCTCTCTCTGCCAGGACGCATAAATGTTGTGTGTCCTGTATCCTCGCCGCTGTCTCTCTGCAGAAACAGACCTGCAGATGTGTTTAGTTCCATTCACGCCACATTTAAACACATAGGCTTTTGAAAATTGTGTAACTCCAGAGAAGAGGAAGTCCCGCCTTCTGAGTTTGACGAGTGACAGATTATTTTAACGATAGCAACAAAATTCTGAAATACTTGCAAAAATAGGTTTCTTCACGTTTATTTACTTGTCATAGAACAAGAGATGAGTTGGCACACTTTCAGAGCAAGTCCTGCAGTGATTGCTCCGTGCTCTGTCCCGGTCTCTCTCTCTCTGTCTCTCTTGTCTAGAATCTCTCTGGTCTCTCACTCTAGTCGCTCTTTCTCTCTCTCTGGTCTCTCTCTCTCTGTCAGGACTTTTTTTGGTCCCTCTTTCTATCTCTGTCTGGTCTCTCTTTCTCTCTCTCTGTACTCTCCGGTCTCTCTCTCTCTATCTGGTCTCCCTCTGTGTCTGGACTTTCTTTGGTCCCTCTCTATCTACTCTCTCTCTGGTCTCTCTCTCTCTCTCTCTCTCTCTGAACTCTCTTTGGTCTCTCTTTCTGTCTGGACTCTCTCTGGTCTCTCTCTCTCTCTCTCTCTGAACTATCTTTGGTCTCTCTTTCTGTCTGGACTCTCTCTGGTCTCTCTCTCTCTCTCTCTCTGAACTATCTTTGGTCTCTCTTTCTGTCTGGACTCTCTCTGGTCTCTCTCTCTCTGAAGTCTCTTTGGTCTCTCTTTCTGTCTGGACTCTTTCTGGTCTTTCTCTCTATTTCTGCCTGGACTCTCTCTGTGTGCCTGGACTCTCACTCTCTCTGGTCTCTCTGGTCTCTCTCTCTCTCTCGGTCTGGACTTTCTCTGGTCTCTCTCTGATCCTGGGTTGCACTGTGCTGTCACTTTAGAAGACTTATTTTGAAAGTGAGAAGCAGCCTTGAAGAAAAAGTGACACAGGTCCAAACAACACACCAACTTTTCCCATTGCCGTCCAGGGTCAAAACTGCATTTCAACATGAGTCTATTTTTATCATAACTCAAAAGTAATCAGTCATTTTTCCTTCTTCTGTTTCAGATCCACGACAGCCAATCACATGAGTCCACCATTTTGAGAATCCAAACCGACTTCCCTACATATTAAAGATGGCTGCCTCGGATTTCGTCCCCAGACCTCGCCGCCGCCTTCAGCCTCTTCTGCCCGACAGGACTTTTCTGTGACCACCTGAAAAATGCCTTTTCCGCAAAACGTTGGACATTTGCACAACGGGGGAGAATGTGCTATCGAGTTTAGCTAGCGACGCGTTCGAACAGATACACATAAGAAAGTAAGAGTGCTTCCAGAACTCACAACAAAACACATTTTTAATCCAACAAGCTAAAAATATCAAAATACTCAAATTCATATTTCTGTGATTTTGTCAGCCTTCAACGATGCTGTACCTGATTTTTATCGACGTAAAACATACATAATATAATTCAAACTTGTTCAAACATATTCGTTATTTTTCTAACATTGAAATTTTGGACAATTTTCACAAGATCAGAGCAGATCTCTGTCTTTATGCAAATGCTACAAAGAGAGGCTAGCATGCTAACGAGGTAACCCACTCTCGTTTTTAATAACTAGAGCCGTTTTTACTAAATGTGGTTACAATTTGTGAGCAGTTAAACGAACAGACTTTGTTAACAGAAACTCAGTCAGATACAATTGTTTTAAATACTTTCTCATTTTTTCCCAGTTCCATGACATGGAATTTGGCGGCTAACGCTACTCATGCTAACAGCGCACCCAACGTTTTTACAATATATGTCTACACTTTTAGAGAAATTCAAATGCCAAAAATTGATTACAGCCAATTTTAATGTTGCTTAGTCTTTTTTAGTTTCCTAATAGTCGGAGTAGCATTGAAGCTAGCATGCTAATAACACTGTTCAATTTCATTTTTGACAGATTTTAAAACATTTATCTACAAATTTAGCAGAAACTATTTCACATAGGATTTGTACTCCCGCTCTGAAATGTATTTTAGTGAAGTAGAGTAGTCTCAGTTACATTTCTCTTTGGTGGTAGCATGCTAATGGTTGTGGGTAGCATGCTAACAGCTCAATCTGCTCTCATTTTTGAAGTTTTTCAAATTAATCTTGATTTTTGTTGTTGTTACACAAACAAAAATTAGTTGCAGCCATTTCAAAGGTCCAGTGCGTCTTAGTGCTGTCTTAGAATTGTAAAAAAAAAAACATAACTACACACCACACTACATATTAGCAAAACCTAGCACATGCTAACGGATTAGCTTAAGAGCGCGTTTCACAGGTTTTCTCTGCCGTATTCCACAGTTGAATTTCACTTTCGGTTTCTTTGACAAAGCCCACACATTAGAAACTCAAACTTCTTTTTACAACATTTATTAATACGTTTTCACGCAGATAAAGCTGGGGTACTTTCTTTTCATCAGAAACAGTACATGTCATTTGCTCCCACTGTAAGAGTAAAAAGAGCCTTCCTTTCCTCTTCTTTTTGTCACTTTTCTGTCTGAAATAGCTTATTCTACAATCGTGACAGAGCAAAAAAACTAGTCATAGAACCAATTATTTCAGTGTGAGAAACTACTCAGACAGATTTTATAAAACTGTGACATTTTTGTGGCTTTAAAGTTCATTTAATCTCAATTTTTGTTTTGTATATCCCTAAATCACAACAGTATTTATCTGAGAGGACTTTACAAAACCGTTGATTCGCCAACACAGATCAGAGAATCAAACCGTTGAAACACAAGATATTGAGGTACCCCGGCTTTCAAAAGGAGAACATTCCGGTACAGCCTCGAGAAGTCAAATTAAATGTTGCTAAATGCATTCGATATCCATTTATTTCTCATATAACCCGAAGTTTGGTGGTTAGCTTTAGCGCTCCGTTAGCCATAGCTCCGCGGGGGCGCATGGACAGAGTGCGCGGCCCGGCTCGAGCCCTCATGGCCGGGTTGGGGACTTCCACGTCCTTCCCGGAGCTGGACGGGAGAATGCTGTGGTCCCTGAACAACTCCCTGGACCTGAACCAGACCAGGCCGGGCTGGGTGAGTCCGGAGATCTCGGTGGCGGCGTTCGTGGAGGAGAACTTCACGCAGTCGCAGGTGACGAGCAGCGCCATCAAAGAGAAGAACTGGCCGGCGCTGCTGATCCTGGTGATCATCGCGCTCACCATCGGGGGGAACATCCTGGTGATTCTGGCCGTGTCGCTGGAGAAGAAGCTGCAGAACGCCACCAACTTCTTCCTGCGCTCGCTGGCCGTGGCCGACATGCTGGTGGGGATCCTGGTCATGCCCGTCTCGCTCATCAACATCCTCTACGGTGAGTCCTGCTGTGCTTGGTTTGACCGGGCTGAACCACCGGAGCAGTTTAGATGTTCATGATTATAAAACGGATGTGGAACGAAGTTGGTGCAAAACGAGAAAGCGAAATAATTATCATTGTAATGTGGGCTGTGCAATACAGAGTGGTCCAATACGGGTCAGTGCAATACAGAGTGGTCCAATACGGGTCAGTGCAATACAGAGTGGTCCAATACAGGTCAGTGCAATACAGAGTGGTCCAATACAGGTCAGTGCAATACAGAGTGGTCCAATACAGGTCAGTGCAATACAGAGTGGTCCAATACGGGTCAGTGCAATACAGAGTGGTCCAATACAGGTCAGTGCAATACAGAGTGGTCCAATACAGGTCAGTGCAATACAGAGTGGTCCAATACGGGTCAGTGCAATACAGAGTGGTCCAATACGGGTCAGTGCAATACAGAGTGGTCCAATACAGGTCAGTGCAATACAGAGTGGTCCAATACAGGTCAGTGCAATACAGAGTGGTCCAATACGGGTCAGTGCAATTAGGAGTGGTGCAATACGGATCAGTGCAATACTGGTCAGTGTAATGCGGGTCAGTGCAATTAGGAGGGGTGCAATACTGGTCAGTTTAATGTGGGTCAGTGCAATTAGGAGTGGTGCAATACGGGTCAGTGCAATTAGGAGTGGTGCAATACGGGTCAGTGTAATTAGGAGTGGTGCAATACGGGTCAGTGTAATGCGGGTCAGTGCAATATAGAGTTGTGCATTATGGGTCAGTGCTATATTAGGACAGTCAGGGCATGTGCAATACTCTGGTTTGTGCAATACAGACGATGTGTCTCTGTTACTGTTTTCTACATTGTGCTTTGTTGTCCACTCTTGCGACTTGTCCTCACATGATGCGATACCTGTTCTTGTCCCTGTCTCTCTGAGTATAGTCTGTAAATCTGACTCTATGTTTTTAACTTGTGTGTAACGCCAACCTGCAGGGCTCTGCAGATAAGGCTATAATCTGACTTATTTACATTTGTGAACATGTTCATTAATATATATTGTTCCTCCTTTCTCAAATGAAAAAATGAAATGAAAATAAATAATAATAATAATAAAATTCAAATGAAATAAAGTCTATAACTCTAGAAATAAACAAGTATAAAATCTACTGTATATAATGAACACGTTAAAGAAGTAAAAAGAAAGGTTTCTCACCCATCATCTGTACTTAGGTTTTCCCGACGTTTCGTTCTTCTCCAAATAACTTTTTAAAGAGAGTGAAAGCTCAGGGGTGAGTTGTAGATTATTTAACCTGTGGTCCTTCCTCAAGTGGAGGAGTTCAAGTATGTCGAGGTCTTGTTCACGAGTGAGGGAAGGATGGAGCGTGAGATTGACAGGCAGATCGGTGCAGCGTGCGCAGTGATGCGGTCGCTGTATCGGCCCGTTGTGGTGAAGAGGGAGCACCGTCTGCAGTCAGAGCTGTATCGGACCGTCGCGGTGAAGAGGGAGCAGCGTCTGCAGTCAGAGCTGTATCGGACTGTTGTGGTGAAGAGGGAGCAGCGTCTGCAGTCAGAGCTGTATCGGACTGTTGTGGTAAAGAGGGAGCAGCGTCTGCAGTCAGAGCTGTATCGGACTGTTGTGGTGAAGAGGTAGCAGCGTCTGCAGTCAGAGCTGTATCGGACTGTTGTGGTGAAGAGGGAGCAGCGTCTGCAGTCAGAGCTGTATCGGACTGTTGTGGTGAAGAGGGAGCAGCGTCTGCAGTCAGAGCTGTATCGGACCGTCGTGGTGAAGAAGGAGCTGAGCCGAAAGGCAAAGCTCTCAATTTACCGGTCAATCTTTGTTCCCTCCCTCACCTATGGTCATGAGCTTTGGTTATGACCGTAAGAACGAGATCGCGGATACAAGCGGTCGAAATTTTATTATTACATGCCTTCATTTTTGTTTTAAATTGCAATTTAATGAATGGGTCATATTTGACCCATGTGTGTAATCTTGATATAGTAATACAAAAATGAATTTTGTTCAAAAAGTAAGGCAGGAAAAATATGAATACTGATGTTTGGTAATCAAAGACAAGATATTTAAAGAATACTTGGATTATTGAATTATAAAATGCATTGATTTCAAAAGAAACAGCAAAGAAATGCTCAGCCTGCATGAGATTACCTGGGAAATGAATGCGGGTCATTTTAGACCCATGTTGTGCATTATAGGGGTGTGCGTATGTTGTGCATCAAAGGGTCAAGACAGACTGTGACTATATAGATTAAATTAACTTGGCCCGAAGTTTTGACAAACGATTTCGGTCGACGGTGCTTCACTGTCAGGATGGCCGAGCGGTCTAAGGCGCTGCGTTCAGGTCGCAGTCTCCCCTGGAGGCGTGGGTTCGAATCCCACTTCTGACATGTTCCTTTTCCTTCGAAACCAAAACATAATCACTTCATGGACAGGTTCGTGCTGTTTTGTTCTGCGGACGGATAATGTTGTTGTCTTTGTTATAAGTTGTAAACAGTTAAAACTGATCAACTGTGCACCTGTTTTGGTTAAATTAATCTAAATGTATAAATCTCATAAAAACTCTTCTTCCCTCCTCCGTCTCCGGGAAATGTATGTTTTGTGTAAAATACCCCCGAATTCAACTCTGGTGCTATGTGGTTGCTGTAGTTCCAATTGTTCCCACTAGGGCACATGTCCAGCAGTCAGGATGGCCGAGCGGTCTAAGGCGCTGCGTTCAGGTCGCAGTCTCCCCTGGAGGCGTGGGTTCGAATCCCACTTCTGACAAGAACGTTTTTCTTAATAATACTTCAAGTTTATAAACGAAATCATCAAGATATATTAATGAGTGGTCAAATAATGTTATTGTCTTTGTTACAAGTTGTGGATCAGACAGAAGCCAGGGGAGTTCCTGTGTCACTGCTTGAATCATTTCTGTAGAAATAATACAAATCTATTTTTTAAGAATAGATAATAAACAGATAAAAAACTAGAATCAGAATCATTTTTGTTACCATTTAGCTGACAGGAAGTTACAGAGTATTAAATTTCTTTGGCTCTCAGTGCAAACGAGTCAAAAGTAGAGAATAGAATAAGGCATATTTCACTTGCAGCAAAAAGAAAAAGTAACTTGTGGAATAAACGCAACAGACATAGATGAACTGCACTTGTACAGGCTCAGCTGTTCTCGTTGTACAGTCTGACAGTAGCAGCTCTTTGGAGACTGGATCAGTCCGTCACTAAAACTACTCACCAGAGCAGACAGTGTCCTGCAGGGGGCGACAGTCATGGTCCATATGTTAGTTTTAACCAGGACAAAGTACAAATCTAAACACTACGATACAGTGGCTTTTAAAGTTCTACCAACTTGAGCTATTTCACATTTGTCATTCTTAAAAACACAAACATAAACATTTATTTTCAGCAGCACAGAAAAGAAACAGAGCCACGAAGAACCCGTTTCTAACATATCCATGTGTAAGAAGTGTCCTCAGACCCCAAAAGAACCAATCCCTCATGTATGAAGCAAGACAATTTTAAGTTTCAGTAAAACCAGGTCTCATTCTGCGTCCAGGCTCCTGTACTTTACACACACGTGATTTAAAAAAACCCAGACTCGACCTCATGCGTCCTCCGGCAAAATCCAATCTGAGACCTTTGCTTTGGACCCTCAATAACAAACACATCCCCCGCCCCTTCTGTAAAAAAGCTGCAGTCTCAAACATGTGCAGAAGCCTTTTTCTGTCTCTTTTGAACTTCCTCTTTTGAAATAGCTTTCTGTGCAACCTCCCTCTGGTGGTCAAAGCGAGTTATTACATGCAGATAATATGTTTAAACAGTCCCATCATCATCTGTAAGTGACGATAGAGAGAATCCTTTGTTTCCAAAATCAGATTATGTTCCTGTTTTAGTCCTGCTTTAGTCCAGGTGCAGTCCTGCTTTAGTCCTTGTTCAGTCCTGCTTTAGTCTTTGTTCAGTCCTTGTTCAGTCCTGCTTGAAGCTGCTTTCAGACCGGATCATGCTGCGTCGACTTTCAATGCAAAGTCAATGGTGACGCGCGTTCGAGCGTGGAACTGCACGTGCGTCTCGGGATGCATGTAGAGACGCACGACAAAGGCGCGGCAGAGGCGCAGCAGCGTAAAATGGACGCACGCAGGAGATAAATATTGCTGAGCGTTTCCTCGGACGTTTTGCAGCGACCAATCAGAGAGCTGCAAAGTGGTCAGTGGGACATTAGTGTCTGAGCGAGCAGAATGAACAGACTGTAAACAGCCAAAACAGGAGCTACATCAGGACTAGACCAGGACTTAGGCCTGGACTCCACCGGGCGCGTCTCCGTTGACGCGTGTTGGCTGCTGTCCGTCAGCCGTCCGTAAAACGGACTAGTGGTCAAACCGGCTGCAGCAGCAACTCTGGCTGTGCGTTTATCAGCCTGCTTTGTTTTTGTAGGAGACATGTTTGGGCATTGTGTGAATGAATGAATGTTTGGCTGATGGAGGAGTTATGTATTGTCGGCGTGCATGTGTGCGTGAGAGCGCCCGTGTGTGTGGTGGGAGGCGTGTGCGTGCATGTGTGTTTGGGTCTGTGACTGCAGCGTTTATTATGATCCAGCCTCTTCGTTTGTTTTCTACTTATTTAGCGCGTCATACACTTTTATCGGACCCAGCTCGCCTCTCCGCGGCTTTAGGCAACAGGCAGAGCTATAGTTTTAAATAGAAGAAGCAGTGTGTGATGTGTATGAGCTGTGGCTATGATCAGTGCAAAGCACAGCATATTGAAGCATCGAGGACGTCGCGATGGATGAAGCAAAACTTATTGAAAGCAATTGGAAAAAGGGGAGAGAGAAAAGAACTCCAACATATCCAGTGTTGTGAGATCTGTCTCTCATAAGTGCATCTCTGTGTGTGTGCGTGCGTGTGTGCGTGCGTGCGTGTGTGTGTGTGTGCGTGTGTGTGTGTGTGTGTGTGTGAGTGTGTGTGTGAGTGTGTGTGTGTGTGTGTGTGTGGGAGCGCGCGGCGGTGAGGAGAGAGCTCCTCGCAGGTAGACGGGACAGAGCGAGAGAAAAAAGAGCGAGGTGTATGTAAAGA